AAAAAAAATTTCCCCCTCCCCCCACTCCTCTCCCCCCCTCTCTCCAGTCCTAACAGGACCTGTGGAAAGTCCAAGGTCCTCCCCCCTCCATCCAGGTCTAGGAAGGTGAGCCTCCAAACTGGCTAGGCTCCCACAAAGCCAGAATATGAAGTAGGATCAAAATCCAGTGCCATTGTCCTTGGCTTCTCCTCAGCCCTCAATGTCCACCATGTTCTGTGATCTGGTTTTGTCCCGTGCTTTTTCCGTCCCAGTCCAGCTGGCCTTGGTGAGCTCCCAAGAGATCAGCCCCACTGTCTCAGTCGGTGGGTGAGCCCCTCACGGTCCTGACTTCCTTGCTCATGTTCTCCCTCCTTCTGCTTCTCATTGGGACCTTGGGAGTTCATTCCGGTGCTCCACTGTGAGTCTCTGTCTCTATCTCCATCCATCACCAGATGAAGGTTCTATGGTGAATTGTAAGATATTCATCAGTATTGCTATAGGATAGGGCCATTACAGGTTCCCTATCCTCAGCTGCCCAAGGAACTAACTGGGGACATCGCCCTGGGCACCTGGGAGACCCTCTAGGTTCAAGTCTCTTGCCAACCCTAAGATGGCTCCCTTAATTAAGATATATGCTTCCCTGCTTCCCTATCCACCCTTCCTTCATCCCAATCATCCTGTTTCCCCAAGTTCCCCCCATCCTCCCCTTCTCACTTTTCTCTCCCCATCTCCCCTTACCCCCATCCCACCCCACCCCCAAGATCTCATTTTTTTGCCTGGTAATCTTGTCTATTTCCCATATCCAGGAGGATGACTATATGTTTTTCTTTGGGTTTGTTCATAGCAGCATTATTTGTAATAGCCAGAAGCTGAAAACAACCTAGATGTCCTTCAATGGAAGAATGGATGAAGAAAGTGTGGAATATATACACATTACAGTACTACTCAGTGGTAAAAAACAATGACTTCTCGAATTTTGCATGCAAATGGATGGAAATATAAAACACTATCCTGACTGAGGTAACCCAGACCCAAAAAGATGAACATGGGGTGTACTCACTCATAATTGGTTTTTAGCCATAAAAAAAGGTCATTGAGTCTATAATTTGTGATCCTATTTGCATGCTTTTTTTTATCTGTAATTATGAATAGGATGTCAAAGAATTTTTCTTCTCAAATCATGATATCCATGTTATGTCATACATGTGTCTTTCAAGAAAGGTAAGTGAATATGGTTAAGACACTGCTTGTTAATGTTGTATGACATAAAGACTAATGAAATAGTTGTAGTAAAAAGGAGCGGTGGGGCTGCGTCCACAGCACTCCGGTTCCCCACATGGCTAGCTTATGCTCCGAAATAACAACACACAAACTGTATTCATTTAAACACTGCTTGGCCCTTTAGCTCTAGCCCTTACAGGCTAATTCTCACATCCCAATTAACCCATCTCTAATAATCTGTGAGCACCAGTCTTACCGGGAAAGGTTCAGCATGTCTAACCTGGCGGCTTGCTTCATGGAGTGCATTTGCCCAGGAGATCGGAGCATGGCATCTCTCTGAGGTGTCTGCTCCCGAGAGGAGAGCTGTGGAGTCTGAGCTCACTTCCTCTTCCTCCCAGCATTTTGTTCTGTTTACTCCTCCCACTTATCTTCAAACCAATGAGGGCCAAGCAGTTTCTTTTTATTTAACTAAAGACCTTCCTCCATCAAATAGTCTATAGAGATCTAAATATTACTTCTTATGTATGAGGGAGAATTTTTGCAGACAGAATGTTGATAAAATGCTACATAGAATATATTGACTTATACATATACACTATATGAATATATCTATATTTATATATTTGTGTATGATTTTCAAACTACAAGAATTAACAATTTTAATAATAAAGGGTATAGGACATAAATTCTTTTATTGATGTACCACATGTTTAATGTTCTAATATTCTCCACAGTGTATGTCACTCAAAGTTTAATATTAGGAAATTAAACTGTCAGAAGGAAGAAATGTGGAAATAATCATCCTTTCCCTTAGAAAGTTTAGTATAATGGATTTCATTCTTTTACATGGCTGCATTGATTTATATTTGGACTTATTTAGTGTTTTATCTGAGCATAGGTTCTATCAAGTGACATTTTTAAGCCAATTTGTATCAAAGACTTAATACACTTGAATCTTTGCATGTGTGTCAAAATATTCATGCCCATTATAAATTTCTTCTGAAATTAGCATAATGGGCAGTATGAATATCAAAATTCAGGTATATCAGACTTAAATTTAGGAAGGTCTGTGCACATACCATCTGAGTCTCAATATTGATTCTGGCTGAGAAACCTTGGCAATTGATTAATTTGGACAGATCTAAAGTTAATCGAGAAAATTTGCTGCACAGGTATAAAAGCAAACTATCATCATTTTACTTTTTATATATTTTTAACTTTCTTTGTATTTATTCTTTGTGTCTTTCACATCATGCCTCTTGATCCCATCCATCTCTTTCCTCCACCAAGAATAAAATAAAATAAAATTCAAGAGAAAAGGGAGGGGGGCAAAAAATCTCATCATGGAAGCAGCAGTGTGACACAGTAAATTCTTTTGCCCACACACTTTTATATGCAAATGTTCATTACAAAGTGTCATTGTCTGGTTCAAGAGCTGTAGTCACTGCTACACCATCAAAGCTGGCACTCACTGGGACTCTTCCTGGACATCCTTTTTCTGCCCTGTGTCATGGCCATCCTGCAGCTTTGGGTCCATAGGACCCCAAACTCGTGCACCAGCAGATCACAGATGGGGTGGATATTGGATATACTGCTACTTCTGGGCCTGGATAGTTACAGGGTTGGTCAGCCTGCCAGTTTCCCATCTTCATCACCAGCATGAGCTCTCCAGCTTTGTCCTGGCTATTTCACCCCTTGCAGAGATTATCAAGGGACAGAGCCAGTTCTTCTTTCACATCCTCAGGGTTGGTTCTCTATACATATACCTTCAGCACCAGCTCTCCTGTGTTTTTCAGGAAAAGGGTAAAGGCCACTCTCCTGTATGCTGCAGCTGATGAGGGGCAAGAATAGCTCTCCTGCTCTTATGACCTCAGGATACGCTCAATAAATTTTGTGTTTTTAACTGGAACAAGTACTTAAATTCTGTTTCGGTTATTTTTTAGATTTATTTTATTTAATTTCAAAGCCGAACAATGGTGGTGCAAGCCTTTAATCCCAGCACTTGGGAAGCAGAGGATGGCAGATTTCTGTGAGTTCGATGCCAGTCTGGTCTACAAGAGCTAGTTTCAGGACAGACTCCAAAGCTACAGAGAAAACTTGTTTCTAAAATAAAAAAATAAATAAATTTCGATGCATTTATGTGTGTCTGTGTGTGGGTATGGGCATGTGAGTGTATGTCGTAGTGAAGGCAAATGAGAGAATATGGAGCATGATGGAGTCAGAGTTAAGTGTAGTTATGAGCTGAGCTGCCTTCTGTGGGGGCTGGTAACAATTCTTGGGTCTTCTGTAAGAGTTTTTTTTTTTTAACTGTGAAGCTATCATTTCTGCATCAACTATTTCAGTTTTTCATGTACTTTCCTATATCCTGTTTTTTGTTTTATTTTTGTTTGTTGCTTTGCTACCTTGCTTGTTTTTCTACTGCTTCTCTCTTCTGTACCATACCAAATATACTTCACCAATTATCCTTATACCCTAGTTTTATTTATGAGTTTATATTGGCAGAGAGCCTCCAATATTGTCAGTGTACAGGGGTATGAACAACAGAAGCTATTGCTAGAAAGTAGCTGTAGCAGAATTATTTAAGGAATATGATGAGTTATTTGTTATGAACAATGTGGAATTCCATATACCACATCATGGACATTATGTATCATTTCCTTTCTGTAAAACCTTCTTCAAAATATTCTAAATTTCTAGACATGTACAGTCACTGCTTTTCATAGATACCATAGATATTTTGAAAGTTTGCTAGGAAATGTTTGGGTATAGTAGAGTTTTCATCTTGTTTGTACAATAGTTCTTATGTCAATCTCAAAGTTTGAAATAAACATCCAGTAAAGTTATCTAGATTATGGCCAAAGTGGGGGGCATCCAGCCTCATGGCCACAGAGGGTTACTATTGCTGTGATGAAGCATCATGACCAAAAGCAAATTGGGGCGGATAGGATTTATTTGGCTTTATTTCCACATCCTTGTTCATTATTGAAGGAAGTCAGGGCAGGAACTCAAACAATGTAAAAACTGGAGGCAGGAGTTGATACAGAGGCAATGAAAGACAGCTGCTCACTGGACTTCTCCTCAAGGCTTGCTCAACTTCCTTTCTTATAGAACCCAGGATTAATTTCCCAGATGTATCCTTACCCATAATGGGCTGATGTCTTACCCATAAATCAGTAATTGATACCATATAGGCTTGTCTCCTTACATCCTGGTCTTCTGGAGACATATTTAATTATTTTTTAATTTGAAAATAGCTTCTTCTTACTTATGGTACATCCTGATCACAGTCTCCCCTCAATTCCGTCCTCCCAGCTTCCATCCATCTCTCCTCTCCCCAAGATCCATTCCCCCCATTTCTCTTTTAATAAAATGGATCCCTCCAAGAGAGAACTAAATTCGACAAAACAAGATAAAAACAAGGCAAGGCCAAAGCCCTCATATTGAGGCTGGACATGACAACCTAATAGGAAGAAGAGTCCCAAGAGTAGACAAGAAGCAGGGACATAACTGCTCCCACTGTTAGGGGACCCACAACACGAAGGTAACAGCCATAATATATATGCAGAGGACCTAGTGCAGACAAATGTGGGCCCCATAATTGTCTGTTAACAGCTTCGGTGAACCCATATGTGGCCTGCTAATTTGATTTAGTGGACCACGTTCTTCTGGTATTCTCCATCCCCTCTGACTCCTATCTTTTCTCTTTGTCTTCCATGGGGTTCTCAAATCTTCAGGGGAAGAACCTGAAGGAGACTTCTAATTATACTCTTTCTCTACAGATTGACTGTTTGTCTCTGCAGCTGCTCCAATCTGCTGCCCGAGGAAGCCTCTCTGATGATGACTGGACAAGGCAACAATTTCCGAGTACAGCAGAATATCATTAGAAATAACTTCATTGATATTTTTGCCAGTCATGGCGGGCTCTATTCTAGGTCTCAGGCCTATTCAGTGTCTGGTTTTTGACCATAGTGTCAGGAGAGCATATGGGCTCTATTTCATGGGGCAAGCCTCAAGTTAAATCAGATGTCGGTTCTCCACTCCTTCAAGTTCTGTACCACAACTGCTTCGGCATATTTTACACGAAGGACATATGATTTTTTGAATGGGTTAGTGTCCAAGTTTCTCTTTCAGTAACCTGCAGAGTATCTTCCTGTACCAGTGAGATGCGGGAACTTAGGAGTGAAGACTACTTATAGGCACCAGTTCCACCTTGCTAAGTTGAGTGACTTGTATGAATGTTGTCTATGGTTATCGGGCCCTGCTGTCAGTTTATTGAAAGCAACTCTCTGTCCTAGCATAAGTCTGGGTTATTTAGGGATCTTCAAAGGACACCCTAGAACAACAACTCAATGGAACAATACCCAATCCCACCACTAGAAGTCTTGCCTAGCTACAAAACATGGCCAGTTTGACTATCTTCCTTTAACAGAAGTCCTCACTAGTGTCACCCTCATAGATTCCAGAAAGCTTTCACTACACTAGATTTCTACATTGTTCCACAAATGCTGCCCTAAATGTCAACTGTCTCTCCTTTTACTCTCCACCCAACTTGTCCCTTCCTGCTCCTAGCTCCACCCATCTTCAATCCTCCTGAAAAATCTAGTCTGTTTTCCCTTTCCAAGGAGATCCTTGTGTTCCCTTCCCCCATGGTTTACCTCTTTGTCTAACTCTCTGAGCCTATAAATTATAGACTGATTATCATTTACTCATCTGCTAATATCCATTTATAAATCAATATATGTATTTGTCTTTCAGGGTCTTGTTTGTCTCATGCTCTAGAATTTTTTTCTAGTTGCATCATAATGCCAATATTTTGTTTTGTTTTTTTGAGACAAGGTTTCTCTGTGTAGCTTTGTAGCCTACCATGAAACTTGCTCTGTATGTTACAAGGAGAGGGCCACCAGGCTAGCTTACAGCTGAAATAACCACACAGAAACTGTATTAATTTAATCACTGCTTGGCCCATTAGCTCTAGTTTCTTATTGGTTAATTCTTACATCTCAATTTAACCCATTTCTATTAAGCTGTGTATCGCCATGTGGCAGTAGCTTACCGGCAAAGATTCAGCATGTCTGACTCAGGTGGCTCCATGGCAGCTCTCTCTTACTCTGCCTTTCTTCCTCCCAGCATTCAGTTCCTTGCCTTCCTAAGTTCTGCCCTATCAATTAGGCCAAGAAAGTTTATTAATTAACCAATTAAAGCAACACAAAAGCAACACAATCTGTAGACCAGGCTGGCCTCAAATTCACAGTGGCCTGCCTGCCTCTGCCTCCTGAGTGCTGGGTTTAAAGGCACATGCTACCACTGCCTGGTCATTTTTTTTTTTTGGAGTTTTGAGACAGGGATTCTTCCTTAGCTTTTGGTTCCAGTCCTGCAACTAGCTCTTGTAAACCAGACTGGCCTTGAACTCACAGAGATCTGCCTGCCTCTGCCTACCAGAGTGCTGGGATAAAGGTGTGCACCACCACCGCCCGGCTTCATTGCCTGGTCAATTTTCTTTTTTTTAACATCTGAGTATGATTCAATTGTCTATCTTTTTTTTTTTTCTTTTCGTAGAGGAGTGTCTAGGATGTTTACAGTTTCTGGCTACTATGAATAAAGCCAAAATGAACATAATTGAGCAAGTGTCCTTGTGGTAAGATGGAGTGCTTTTTGGTATATGCCCAAGAGTGGTATAGCTAACACTTCTCATTGCTGGTGGTAGCGCCAACTTGCACTTTGGAATCAATATGGCAGTTACTCAGAAAATTGGGAATTGACCTACCTTAAGACAAAGTGATTTTTTTCAATTGACATATTTTTTTTTTCAAATGACTATACCATATTTGGATACCCCTTTTCTAGAAATTGCTTTCCTTGGCAAAATGTGTGCATTCTGTATAACAGCTGTGATTACATACACTTACATCTCTTTAAATGTTACTGTTCCATTTTTTTTATTCTCTTGACAATCTCTCTTGGTCTCTTGAGGAAAATATTATTTAAATTTAAAAACTGATTTGATTATATTAAACTTCTTTACATGCTGATCTGACAAAAGGAAAAGAAAAATGGGGCTTTCTCACTTTACATTTAAATGCTTTTTTGTGGAACATTTAAATGTTGTTCGTGGAGCATGTTCTCCAATTTTGCTAATCAGATGAGGAATGAATATTGCTCATTGGTTAAACATTGTCCAACTTACGTTTTGAGGCTATTGGATATAGATCTAGATCTATTATGGCTCATATGACTTTAGACAAGCTATGTACACTTTTTATGGTTTCATTTCTATATTTGGAATTGGGAGAAATAATAGCTAACATTTATCAAGTACTTAATATGTGCCCATCCAATTCATGTATCATCTCATTTAATCTTTACAAAATTTCCTTGGGGTAATTATTCCTTTCTCACATATGAAAAAAAAAACTATTGTTTATACATCTAGTCATATGATCTTATATTTAAAATATTATAACTGACATATATTAAGGACTTCTTATGTCCTAAAAGTTATCCTAAGTATTTTAATTCACTTTTTGTAATACTTATAACCACTAAATACATTTTCTGAATGATAATTTCTTTCTCCAAGATTCTGTTTTACCATTAGTAGGAAAGAGATATTGGTATTCACTTTATAAAGTTGAGATAGTTTTGAAACTTCACAAAGCAGATGAGATAATAAAATATGAATATGGTAAGCACATGGTACATGCTAAATAAATAGTAGATATCCGTTAATTTCATCATTAATTCTCCCTGGGCATATTAGACTATTAGGGTGGCTGAAGCAAAATAGCATGAATTGGATGGCCTATGAAGAATGCACATTTATTTCTTAGAGTTCTATTGCCTGTGTTATAGGTGACCACTAGTTAGTTCCTAGCCACTCAGCCCAGAAACACTCAGAATCTATATTATTTAAATCATTGCTTGGCCAGTTAGCTCTAGCTTCTTATCAGCTAGCCCTTACTTTAATTTAACTCATTTCTATTAATCTGTATATTGCCACGTAGCTGTGGATTATTGGGTAAAGTTTCCAGTGTCTGTCTCTAGCAACTCCATGGCCTCTCTCTGACTCCACCCTTCTTCCTCCCAGCATTCAGCTTAGATTTCCCCTGCCTAGCTGAGTTCTGCCCCTGCTATAAGTCGAAAGCAGTTTCTTTATTCATTAATGGTAATCACAGCACACAGAGGGGACACCCACATCACCTGTGAAGTCCAATATCAAGACACCAGAATATTTGGCATTTGAGGAGGGCTCAGTTCTTCAAGAGAATCATGGCCTGCATATCTTCTTACATGAAAGTGGGCTATGAATCTACTCTCCTTCCTTTTCCTTAAGGACCTAATTTCATTTTTTAAAGCATCTGTACCCATAGCCTCCTAATAGCTTCAGTTTTTATTTATGATTTTAAAAGATTAATATTGAGAAAACATAAACCTACAGAACATAGAATTTATTAGATGCCTACATGACAATAACAATTCACCTTGTACATGATATTGTATTTCTCAACACCTATCATTGTTCAGATACTTGCCCTCAATTGTTATGCATTCCAGAGTGATAGAATGACCTCAGATCACAACCTCCATGTGAGACAATTATTTATATAGTAATTGTTTAATTTTCAATCATATTTTAGTAGTGAGTTCACAAAAGATAAATGAAAAAAGCATCAGGATATTTTGAGAAAGGGAAATAGTTCTTGAATAAATTGTAGTATATTACTCATGGTACACAGAGAATCTAATATCAACAATCCTTGTGTGCTTATTATGTGTCAAAAAATGTTTGCTGTGTTATGTATCTCTCCTATTTCTTTTAGGTTTACTGGGTATTATTATCACATTTTATTTCAAATATGATAAAATATCTACCGCTGTATTATCTAACTTGACCAATGTCTCAAGTTTAGAAAAGCTAGTTTTCCTATCAGATTCAAATTCCTAAGTTTGTACTTTCTATAACTTTACTCAAAATTTATTTGGTTCTAATCATCTTTTCTAATATACTACTTAAGTAAATAAAACTTCATAAATAAAACAAAACCATTGTGTTTTCTTAAAATATAAAAATACATTTTCTACTCAAGCTCTGATAATACTGTCAAAACCACCTTTTAAATCTGTGAATTTGTGAATCATGAAAAGAGTAGCTGGTTTATTGTTTCATGTTATAGAGATTTAATGTACCTTTAAAAGTATTTAAGTAGAACATCAGATTTATGTAATAACATTTGAAAACACTGTTTTATGTTCAAATTTATGTTCAAAACTTTACAAACTGTGTCTTTATACATCTACTATCCATTAATGTTTTACAAGAATTCTTACATTCAAAGTATGAATAATCTTAACTGTGAGTAATCTGAAATACATTTGGACATTATAATATCCTTCTGTTGCTTTGTTTCATATTTCTTTTTCTATAGACTGAGATAGAACTTGCTATATAGCTCATCCTGACCTCAAGCTCTTGACTTCCTGTTGCAGCCTCCTCAGTTTTAAGATTACAGTTATGAACCAAGCATGGTTTTACTCAGTTGTTCTTTAATTTGAGATTATTTTATGACTATATTATGTTAGTGTATAAAATGCTTCATCTTTATTTTTAAAATGTAGTGAGTTCCATCTCATGTAATTACTTAATTTATTTAACCTGTTTCCTATTGTTGATAAAGTAACTGATAAACTACTCCTCTGGCTCTTTTGCTGGCTTTTAGAACCCTATTCCTCATACTGTATTACCTTGCCCAGCCTTAAAACAAGTAGAAGTGCTTAATCTTACTACAACTTGATTCGTCATGTTTTGTTGGTACCCATGTGTCGATATCCATAATTTCTTGATATCTATGATATCTTTGCTGAACAGAAATAGAGGTGGCATGGATTGAGAGTGTTGTGGGGAGAAACTGGAAGAAATAGAGGGAGGGGAAACTGCAGTTCAGATGTAAAATAAATAATATTATAAT